TGTAAACGAATCTTCGGCTTCCTGAACTCTTAAAAATTAGGACCCTGTAACAACAATGTAATATTTATCTTCTGTTTGTTGTTACTATGCAAAGCATCCGGTTATTGCGCGCGTTTGTATACACTAAATCACCGTAGCAACAAACACAACGTGCGTATATGTATGACCAATAAGATCACTGAAAAGATATGTAAGTAGGGAAGTTTTTACGCGGTTTGTAAAAACCATAAACACCTACTTTTAACACAATGTTTCGTTTGAATAATAGCCGACCCGTCTAAAAACTACTGGTTACCGGTACGGTACCTATTCTTTTCCATAATATATTATAAAACATAACATTTTATTTATTTAATTAAATTATATTTATTTATTTGACTCTAAAATCCGATTTATTTACGGTACGGTATAGGCTTCTCACAAGCGAACCATAAGCAAGGCGGCATAAAATAGTATTTATAATAAAGTTCCCATCCATTTTCTCCCCCAAAAAGGCGTCATTCGATATGTGGTTCTGCCAAATTTATGATATGGTTTTGTATCATATTATGATACAAAAAATGTCAACAGCTTAAATAGCCTGCATACCGGAGTACTGTAAGTTGAAGAGGGATATTTTTCGAAATCGAAATCGAAATACTTTATCAAAAACCCATCGATTAGGACGAATGCTCGTAAAATAAATTTAGCTATAAAAGTGCTCATTTCTATTTAACAATTCTTAACTTTTAATGAAAATACCTCACATTTTAAATACATCAATGATGACTACAATGTATGCCAAATAGACTAAACACAGAAAAAAATAGATTTAAATCTGTGATAATTATACTATATAGTTTTCTCAGATTTTAATTGATACTTCAAAAATTGAAGGCGTCCTATGGGGATGGCGCCATGAATAATTTCAATCCCGCATATTCTCAAAATACTGAAAGTAAATATACACACGTGTTAGGCCTGTAAGACGGAAGTGAAAATAAATGCAATGCCAGTAGTGGACTGAAATACAATAGTGGGCGGGAAAATTATGCTTATAGGCCTATCTTTTCTGAACATATCACAATGTTTTGAAATGGAATTCAAGAAGCCAAGAATTATCAAATATTATCGAAACACCTGATTCACAGCTTTCAATAAAATGTGGGAGAAATATCACGTCGTTTATAATTTCAAAACAATATGAACTTGACTTTCTAACCTCATCTTCAAAACTGACCATATTCGCTTGGGCATGTCAATTACAGTCATTTACGAAATATCTAGCATCTCAATATCTTGCCAACTTGCAGGTTGCAATCTTATTTTATAACGGTTAATAAGTTATGCTTGGCTGGAAGGCATCTCTTGGGACTATGCCACAATATCTAGTAGTCATACTAGGCCTTTTCCTGTCCTGCATTGGTTCGACTTTTGTTGAGGCCGCATGTCCGATCAATAATTCACCAGGGGTATGCGAAGTCGAAGAGCCGTGAGTAAATTTCTGTATTTTGTTTCCTTTTTATTTCATTCACATCCAAAAACAAGCAGGCCTACTTCGCTAATTACATGATGGAGCGATGCTGTGACGTTCAAATTCAGGGCCCTCGGATAGGAAAGCAAATATCGTAAGCCCCAAGCTATTCAACTCCACTTTATAAAAGATAAAAGCTATAGTTTTTACATATTTTTGAAGGTTTCATTTATTCAGTCTTATTTATAAGTGTATCCGCTCAACTAGTTAAAGCTCAGTAAATAAATCTAGAAGTTTAGGTACATCATCATCTTTTTAATGTTTATCTCTCTTTGTATAATTAATAATAATAATAATAATAATAATAATGATAATAATAATAATAATAATAATAATAATAATAATAATAATAATAATAATAATAATAATAATAATAATAATCTTGATAATGAAAACAAACGGACGCAAATTGATGAAATACACAACACATTTTGGGAAAAATCTGCCTATTTGTTTACTCAGGAAGTACGAGAAGATATCCTTACGTTTCATCTTAGCTGAAGTGGATCATAATTTCTTATATAATTGCATAACGGTCGGAGTTTTCTGAAATTACTTTATATGCCTATTATACGGTTCTGTAAGGAATTATTCATTTATCTAGTGATTAATGTTTTCTGGAGTGAGAGTGAGTGGAATGTCTCGTACTCAGCAGAATGTAAAGTATTAGGAATTAATTGTTTCGGAGATCACAATTCTATAAATTGATTTTATTTACCATATTGTGGAAACAGTTGCCTCCATCTTTGGTTGGGGGCAGCATGTCGCTAATGTTACTTCAAGAGCTTCTAGTTCTAGTAGATTAATTTATCAAAGAATCCTTCTGCTACTTTTAAATTATACACAAAATTGGGTGGCCTATCATGGAATTTGGTGTTCCTGCATGGGTTCCCTATCCCCACCTTCTAATAGTAACTCATCATAACTGCTCTTAAAAGGTCTGGAGGAGAGCAACCAGCTGCAGGATTTGCTCAATATTCCCTCACTTTAATTTGCTTTCGGTTGAACAAAGATTTCAATATTTAGCCAAATCCTATGTTTGTAAATGTTTATTCAGTTAGTATTTTTTCATATGTTACAAAAATGCTCGTCACACAGATCATTAAGTTTATTCACTCTGTTTCTCGAACTAGTTGTTTACATAATACAGTGTTTAATATTTTCCATGATTATGAGATACTATTATTAATATCCCTTCTCAAATTCGGGACTGTAGGTATCTGTCTCTTATACACATCTAGATGTGTATAAGAGACAGGTGTATGTGCGTGTGTGTGTTTAAGCGAAAATTTAATTTAATAAATGTATACGTCTCAAGCTTTGTCAAAATGTCCAGCGTTCACTTTAACAACTGCAGTGTTTAATGTTTTTTGTTAAACGCGACGGTGTTCAGCGAGACGAGCGAGACCAACTTTGATAGTAATTCAGTTCACCTTTTACAATTATTCATCAGCACCGTTTTCAATTGTACTTTTTGTTGTGTCTTTTTATATTATTTTATAAGAGAACATAATTGAAATGAAATTACCATCATCATCTTTATCATCAAAACCTTCATCACAACCATCATCATCGTCGTCATATGATCATCATCATGCATAGTCATCTTGAGTCCCCCGTTGGGGAGAAAAGCCACAATTCGTCGGGGAGAAAAACATTTATGTGTATTTTTCACACACAGTATTAGTAGACTCCAAAACTGATTAAAAGACTTTGAAACCCCTAAATTGTCCGAAGCCCCCTGGAACACTTTCAAGAGATTTTGAGCAACGCCCGACCACGCCCCCTTTTCTTCGTCGAGGACATGGGGCCACCACTGATCATCATAACCATCATAATCATTGTCGTCCTGATCATCATCATCATCGTAATATTCATATCCATCGTCATTTAATCATTATCACCATCATCATCATCGTCATCATAGATGTGCCTGGAACAGACATATTGATCAGACAGGCTTTGTTAAGTCGAAAAACAATATTATTGCTTTTGGCAAAATCTTCTAGTTGTTGAATGTGACACTCGTGGACATTTTCATTATTTTCATTACAACATGTTTGTTTTCAAGGGTTACTTTTCCTCACATTCGCGCCGTAACTTCCCTGCGGCAGGAAGCTTATAAGGTGGCCTGTGGTTGGATGAATCATAAGACTTGCACAAGATACAGGTATTATTGGTTTTTTTTTATAATCTGTTTTGGTAATTTTATTTATATAATGGTTATTTTTATTATTATTATTATCATTATCTTTATTATTATTATTATTATTTTTTGGGAGACGTAATGAGTATTCGATAGATTAACATGTCAGGTAGGGCAAAACATCACTCCTATGATATTTTCCTGACGCAAATTTATATCTTTATAGCACTTGCAGTACCCGCTGCTACTAGGGGATCGGATTCATCACTACTAGTCACTAAGCGCAATCTCGGTGGACTAGTGGTTAAGACATCAGGCTAGATACCTGGAGGTCGTGAGTTCGATTCCCACCTAAATGACTTAGAAATTTTTTTGCTAGTATTCGGGGACATACTGAATATTTTTTATTGTTTATTGTTATTTTAAGTCTATTATTTGTTATATTGTTATTATATGGTTATGGCTATTATTCTCCTAAAGACGATTGAAGCATCTCAATCGAAACGTCGATACTTTCTCAACAACAACAGTTCCTTTCAGAACTACTTACGTGGTGTACCGCAAGCTTCAACATATATTAAGGACTGAATAAATATTGAAATAAATTTTCCAAAAATTTAAATATCTGATTCAGATCATTGTTGGCTCTTGAAGATAAAACCAGCCTCATACCAGCCGCCCTAAACAAACAACTGTGAAAATTATATAATTCCTTCAAGATGTCATTGTATTTTCGTTTAAGGAAAGCCAAGTCTGAGATATAGTTGGCATTTTTAGAAGTGATGTTAGCACAGCAAAAATGAGAAGCGGGCATGGATGTTAACATAAATATTCTATAACTAATTCTAAGGTTACAATGTGCAATAAATGTGAATGAATGAATTAATGCAAGTGTCAAATCAGTATAATTAGTGGTTTTATTTGTTAATTCACTAAAACTTAAAATCCTAATAATATTTACTTTAAAGTTCCCCTCCAAATATTATTATAGACCTATAATATTTTATTGGGGAACGAAAAACTAAAGTTTATTGCGACATGACGACAACGAACAATGACGCTCCGCTGTTTAAATTGGAAAGAGCTGCGGGTAATGAGGTTGTGCAGGAAGTTGTCGAGTGTTCGGGTATCAATGCATATGAGCATTAAAATTAAAGGTTTATATATAGATTTTCTCCTTAAATCGTTAAACAATCTTCAATGATCTGCAAAGAGAGAGAAAATAATCTGTCTCTTATACACATCTAGATGTGTATAAGAGACAGATGACGCAGAGTGCTCTCACATCGATGGTGTTTGCACCTGTACAACTGGTTGGTCTGGTGTAAGATGTGACGAGCCGTGTAGACAAGGGTTGTTTGGTCCTGATTGTAATTCAAGATGTAAGTGTCGCAATGGTGCATCATGTTCGCGATTCGACGGTACATGCACCTGTCCAGCCGGATTTATTGGCCAGATGTGCAGTAACTCTTGTGGTGATGGCTTTTTTGGAGTTCAGTGTTTTCGGGCTTGTGCATGTCTAAACGACGCAGAATGCTCACCAGTTGACGGCACATGTACTTGTAAAGCTGGCTGGACTGGGGATCTGTGTGATACGCCGTGTTCGAATGACCGATGGGGTGATGATTGTAAAAATGAGTGCAATTGCCTCAACAATGGACAATGCGACCGAATTACTGGGGAGTGTCATTGTGCACCCGGTTGGACAGGCACCATCTGTCACACACCGTGTTCGACTGGACGATATGGTATTGACTGTGCGTTTGAATGTCTCTGTCAAAATGAAGCCCAATGTTCTCGTTTCACTGGGGAATGCACATGTACAAGCGGTTGGTCTGGAGATACATGTGAATACCCCTGCCCGTCTGGTTACTATGGAGTCGGATGTAAAAGTAAGTGTAGATGCCAAAATGGAGCCGTCTGTGACCCAGAAGATGGTAGATGCCGTTGTGGTCCCGGATGGACTGGTGCTGTATGTAATCTAGAATGTCCAGACGGATATTACGGTTTGAGGTGTCAGTCTCGCTGTAGATGCCTAAATGAGGGAGTATGCAACAAGCAAAATGGAACGTGCATATGTGCCAGTGGATGGGTTCTGTCTCTTATACACATCTAGATGTGTATAAGAGACAGGTATATGTCAGTGCGTCGCAGGATACTCAGGACCCTCTTGTCAGTTTAGTGAGTGAAGACTTCATTATTTGTAGTATCTATTCATATGAATTTAATGATGTCATTATTTATTTGTCTAGCTTAAAAGACATGTATATTTGATTCTAACTAATATAAGCACACTTTCGCTTTTATATATGTTGCGTTTTGTTTTTGTATTTAGATAACGGCTAAACCAATTGCAAATTTCAAAATAAAATGTAGGCAAGTTGAATGCGATGTGTTGAAGTTTAGTTTATTATGAAGTGAAATTAATAGTTTAATAACGTGTTTATAGGTTGTTCGGATAACACGTTCGGCATCGAATGCCTGGAAAATTGTGACTGCTCTAACGGTGGGACTTGCGATAGTATGATTGGTAAATGCACTTGTACAGACGGCTTCTATGGCATCAAATGCGAACACGTCTGCCAACCTGGAACCTATGGAGAAAGCTGCACCAAATTATGCCAGTGTCAAAACAGCGCAACTTGTGATCCAGTCGACGGTCTTTGTACTTGCACGTCTGGCTTCAGGGGTGAATTTTGTCAAAATATTTGTCGGCCAAATTTCTTTGGCTTAAGGTGCGCTAAAGAATGTCGTTGTCAAAATGGAGCATATTGTAATCCTGTAGATGGGACGTGCGACTGTGCGCCCGGGTATAGAGGGAGCTTTTGCGAAAATCTTTGTCCCACTGGCTACTATGGACTTGCGTGCTCTAAATTGTGTTCGTGTTTGAACGGTGCAGCTTGCGACAATGTAGATGGCACGTGTTATTGTGCACCTGGGTATAGAGGTGTTACTTGTGCAGATATATGTCCGCGTGACACATACGGAGATAACTGTGCAAATGAATGCACTTGTCAGAACGGAGATTGTGATCACGTATTGGGGACATGTAATTGTTTTACGGGCTGGCAGGGCGCCGACTGCAACATACCATGCAATGCCGGTACATATGGAGAGGGATGTCAGGAAGTATGTATTTGCAAAAACGGTGGTGTATGCAACCATGTATCGGGTGTTTGTCGTTGTCCTCCTGGATGGAGAGGCATCGACTGCAGTTCAAGCTGTCATGAGGGTACCTATGGTTTCAAGTGTAATAAGCGTTGTGTTTGTCAGAATGAGGCAGTTTGTGACAATGTGGATGGGTCATGTACATGTACAGCAGGGTGGACTGGAAGCCTCTGCAGTCAGCCATGTCCAAAAGGAAAATACGGGTTAAATTGCGCGGAAATATGTCCTTGTAAAAATGGAGCCCGATGTCACCATATTAGTGGCAAATGTACTTGCACCTCAGGTTGGCAGGGTGATTTCTGCTCTAAACCTTGCCCTGCAGGAAGGTATGGCCTTAAATGTCGTTCAGTGTGTACTTGTGAAAACAATGCTCAATGCGATCACGTGGATGGCACGTGTACGTGCTCGCCCGGATGGCAGGGTAATCAATGTTCAAGTCCGTGTGGTCCAGGTACATTTGGCTATGAGTGTGCACAGCAATGCCGCTGTCTGAACCAAGGAACTTGTAGCCATATTGACGGACGATGTACATGTGTTGCCGGCTATTATGGTCCTGCTTGTAACGAAGAATGTCCAGAAGGCTATTACGGACTTAATTGTTTATCTGAATGTGAATGTGAAAACAATGCTTTGTGTGATCATCGAAACGGTGTGTGCTCTTGTAAACCAGGATGGAGGGGAAACACATGTGACACGCCTTGCCAAGAAGGGCGTTATGGTGACAACTGTGCGTTCCGGTGCAAATGTGATAACGAAGGCATCTGCAACCATATTGATGGCTCTTGCTCTTGCGTGGCTGGTTATCAGGGCCTGACATGTAACATTCCTTGTAGATTAGGGTTCTATGGTTTAGAGTGCCTTTATGTATGTCAGTGTCAGAATGGAGCAACGTGTAATCCCGTTGACGGCAGCTGTTTTTGTTCTCCTGGTTGGCAAGGAGCCTTGTGTGACGAACCATGCCCAGAGGGATTCTACGGTGATCAGTGTGCAAAACGGTGCCCTTGTTTGAATGGTGGTATTTGTGACACAGTTGATGGAACATGTACATGTGCACCGGGTTGGAGAAGCTTCTGTGGCGAGCCGTGTCCAGATGGAACATTTGGTCAAGGATGTGAAGGAAGATGCCGGTGTGAAAATGGGGCAAGCTGTGACCGATTTGACGGACGCTGCACCTGCACCGCTGGTTGGTTTGGAGCCTCTTGTGACGCAGCCTGTGAGGTAGGATTCTATGGAGCTCATTGCACACTGACATGTGAATGTTTAAATGGCGCCACCTGTAGTCGGTTTGATGGTAGTTGTGAATGTTCAAATGGATACACCGGAGAACAATGCGGGCTGCTCTGTCCACAAGGGTATTTTGGTGAAAATTGTGAGAGCCGTTGTCGCTGTTATCATAATGCTGAATGCTCTCCATTTGATGGCACGTGCAGCTGTCCAGCCGGATGGAGTGGAGACAGATGTGGCACGCCGTGCGAAGCAGGATTGTTTGGAGTCCAGTGCTTGGAGCGATGTAGGTGCCAGAATGGAGGAGCTTGTTCTAGATTTGATGGGGCATGCACATGCACAAACGGATGGCAAGGTGAATTGTGTAACCGTGAATGTGAACCGAATCGATGGGGACATAAATGCCAACAATTATGCTTGTGCGAAAACGATGCAACTTGCTCGCGGTTTGATGGTACTTGCAGTTGTGGGTATGGTTGGTATGGCGAACACTGCAATACGCCCTGTCCTGAAAATAGATATGGACTTGGATGTACCCAACGATGCAAATGCAAAAATAATGCAGAATGTTCAAAAATTGATGGAACCTGTACATGTGGAGTTGGTTGGACTGGGAACCAATGTGACATTGCTTGCCCGACCGGTCTTTATGGTGCAGAGTGCAAAAGCACCTGCTTATGTCAGAACGGAGGAACGTGCAACAGATTCGACGGCACTTGCCATTGCCCACCCGGTTGGCAGGGGATTTATTGCAGTACTGAATGCAGTCCCGGGACTTACGGTGAAGCATGTGAACGCAAGTGTCATTGCAGAAATGACGCAGAGTGCTCTCACATCGATGGTGTTTGCACCTGTACAACTGGTTGGTCTGGTGTAAGATGTGACGAGCCGTGTAGACAAGGGTTGTTTGGTCCTGATTGTAATTCAAGATGTAAGTGTCGCAATGGTGCATCATGTTCGCGATTCGACGGTACATGCACCTGTCCAGCCGGATTTATTGGCCAGATGTGCAGTAACTCTTGTGGTGATGGCTTTTTTGGAGTTCAGTGTTTTCGGGCTTGTGCATGTCTAAACGACGCAGAATGCTCACCAGTTGACGGCACATGTACTTGTAAAGCTGGCTGGACCGGGGATCTGTGTGATACGCCGTGTTCGAATGACCGATGGGGTGATGATTGTAAAAATGAGTGCAATTGCCTCAACGATGGACAATGCGACCGAATTACTGGGGAGTGTCATTGTGCACCCGGTTGGACAGGCACCATCTGTCACACACCGTGTTCGACTGGACGATATGGTATTGACTGTGCGTTTGAATGTCTCTGTCAAAATGAAGCCCAATGTTCTCGTTTCACTGGGGAATGCACATGTACAAGCGGTTGGTCTGGAGATACATGTGAATACCCCTGCCCGTCTGGTTACTATGGAGTCGGATGTAAAAGTAAGTGTAGATGCCAAAATGGAGCCGTCTGCGACCCAGAAGATGGTAGATGCCGTTGTGGTCCCGGATGGACTGGCGCTGTATGTAATCTAGAATGTCCAGACGGATATTACGGTTTGAGGTGTCAGTCTCGCTGTAGATGCTTAAATGAGGGAGTGTGCAACAAGCAAGATGGAACGTGCATATGTGCCAGTGGATGGGTTGGCGAGTCATGTAACATCCAATGTACTGAAGGAACTTACGGTGCAGGCTGCCTCAAAACGTGTGCTTGCAAGAATAGCGCGCAGTGCTCCAGATTCGATGGAACGTGTTCTTGCACAGATGGATGGATGTCTACTGAATGTGACGTTCCATGTCCTGCAAACAGGTACGGCGCAAACTGTGTCAAGGTATGTCACTGCAAAAACTATGGAACATGTGACCGTTTTACGGGTGCGTGTGACTGCTTAGCGGGCTGGGCTGGTACTGCGTGTGATTCCCCATGCTTGCCAGGTTTCTTTGGGCCTAACTGCAACAAACGCTGTAAATGCGACAACGAGGCGAGTTGTTCCTCTATTGATGGTAGTTGTACTTGTCCCGACGGGTGGAAAGGTACAAGATGCAATGAACCTTGCGATGAACGTCATTTTGGAAAGGACTGTTCACAACTATGTTTATGTCAAAACGGTGCCACATGTGATCGTTTCACAGGGGCTTGCGGCTGTGCTCCAGGATGGCAAGGGAATGCGTGTGATATTGCATGCTCGAGCAGGCGATATGGCAAAAATTGTGAACACCTCTGTCGTTGTCAGAACCTAGCAGACTGCGACACAGTTGATGGTAGCTGCACGTGTAAATCAGGATGGACTGGGAGATATTGTGACACTCCCTGTCAGCAAGGCTTGTATGGTGCTAACTGCTTGTACACATGCACATGTGAAAACGAGGCATCATGTTCTAGATTCAACGGGGCGTGCACGTGTCCCCCTGGATGGTTTGGAGATGTATGCAACATGGAATGTGCAGACAACACGTATGGTCTCCAGTGCTTAGAAGAATGTGATTGTGAAAATGGGGCCTCATGCTCTCGGTTTGATGGATCGTGCACATGTGCACCCGGCTGGACGGGACCGAAGTGCGATGTGGCATGTAGGGAAGGTTACTATGGTGCATATTGTACTAAAAGATGCCGTTGCACAAATGGAGGAACATGCTCTCCTTCCACTGGTGTCTGTGAATGTACTGCAGGGTGGACTGGGTCCTCGTGCGCCATCCCGTGTCAGCAGGGGCGTTACGGTGTAGGCTGTCTTGGAGGCTGTTTATGCCAGAACAACGCAGCATGCAGTCCTATTGATGGGTCATGCACTTGTTTAACTGGTTGGGTTGGAATATACTGCGAAACAACTGGTAAGGTGAAAAAATCCTCATTAATCTTTCATTCTTTTTTTATATAATTTCTTAAACAGTTGTTAGTTTATCGTTTTAATGTTTGTATTTTCCCTTTTAAATTGGATTGGATTCCCAGTTATTATCACTACCAATACTACCACAAATCAATATTTAATGTTTAATTTTGAGACGGTGCAGAATTATTAGTCCTAGCAAAAGGCACATTTTAAGAAACAATTTTTATTTCGATGGCGTTTTCAATCGTCAGGAAATTTGTATACGACGTGTTATTAACATAACACGTCAGGTAGAGGAAAACATAATTTTTGTTTCTGAAGCGTAAACAGTTGTCAAAACTATTAACTGATTGATTAATTGATATGATGATTTGATTGATTGATTGATTGATTATCGCTAGATATCATTGGATTCAAAACCTCACAAATAATATCAACAAGGGAAGTCACATGTTCAGAGGTGTTGGTGTATTATGAGGACGGCAAACACATATTTGAATGCCAAGAAATACGGTGGGTAAAAAAATACCGGCGGCCAAAATAAGCATATAGGCGCAGCCTAACTCTAAACCATTGGTAGGCCTATATTTTGTGTTTCATGTTCACTCTACGAAAACCATTTGCTTTCACGCAACCCTGATTTTGCACACTCCAACTTAAGATAAATGTGAGGACTTACTCGATCGCAGTTGTCTTAATGTGTTTTACTTTCTATATCTTTTTAACTTAGAGTGGATGGTCTAAGATTCCCAAATGGAGTGACATGTCGAGAACGCTGGGTGGACAGGATTCCCGATAAATCGGACGCGTACTTCCACATGCGTACTGATCACGTGGGATTCTGCAGGACGGTCCTTAATAACAATGATGACTACACTAAAAGTCAACTACAGGTTCGTTTTGGTTTCAATTAGTGGTTTTATTTGTTAATTCACTAAACTTAAAATCTTACTAATATTTACTTCCCCTCCAAATGTTATTATAGACCTATAATTTTTTATTGGGGAACGAAAAACTAAAACTAAAGTTTATTGCGACATGAAGACAACGAACAAATACGCTCCGCTGTTTAAATTGGAAAGAGCTGCGGGTAATGAGGTTGTGCAGGAAGTTGTCGAGTGTTCGGGTATCAATGCATATGAGCATTAAAATTAAAGGTCTATATATAGATTTTCTCCTTAAATCGTTAAACAATCTTTAATATCTGCAAAGAGAGAGAAAATAATTATAATTTTAGAATTAAAGTTTCATTTATTTTAATTTTGTTTTTAATTATTATTATAATAATAATTATTATATAATTTTGTTATATAATTGTTATATATATATATTTGTTATATATATACATATACATATATATATATATATATATATATATATATATATATATTTATATATAT